TGATACCACATGTAAACTATAATTTATTCGTGTTAAGCCATTCAATCACAAATAAACATAAACCCTAAGATCTTTGAACTTCATTATTTTCACATTGCTATAATGCATAAATAAAGTAGTCAGATATAAATACCTCGATCTCTAATTGTAAATATCTTGTTGAGATTAAGTCCAACGTCTAGATCCTTTAGTCACGAACTAATCTGCAACTCTAATCAACAGGCAAAGGTGGAAACTGGTTTCTCTCTCTTGGCCTTTTGCACACATAAAACTTTTATGTGTTATATCATTAATTGTACATAATTGATGGAGTATATGCACTTTTATAAAGGCAGAGAGAGGACCAATTTTCCTTTTAGTAACATAATTTTACTTTCCATCAAAGTAAGGAATATGAAAAGAAAACACTACTCCAATAAGTAATTGCCAAAAAGGTAATTATAAGTTGACCAAATAATATAATATAATATTAATCTGATATCTATTTACTTAGCCACCAAGTGATATGTCATATGTCCAAATCATGTGGGCCACAATTAAATAAATAATCTTACAACCATTGCAAAAGTTGTTTATGATTTTCTGTCTAAGAACCAAGCTAAATTTCAAACATCTTAACAAAAACCTTCATGCGGAGACATGTTATAAACAACTTTTTGCAATGGTGTCAAAGAAATTTGAGATAGGATTGTTTAGAGAAACAATTTATACGACTACAAATTGTCAGAAAGTAATCATGTATGCCCTTCTTGTCCATCAACAAATGGCTTTTTTTTAACTGAGAAGCCCGAGAACTTTAGAAGTAAGATCTAAAATTACCACAAAAAAAAAAAAAAAAAAAAAAAAAATTGTTTCAATAGAGTTGCCAAACTGCAGACGCTCGTAGCTCATTTGTGCGAGACTGTTGTAATTATAAATAGATTATTGACTGTTGTATAAAAACTTGAGTATAGTAGTCATATTGTAACATACAGATTGCATAGACCATACATATTGCATAGACCCTGGTGGTGGTGGTTCCGTTCTTATTTTCTTTTGTTTTCACTTAAGTCTTACTAAAATTAAAAATAAAATCTTTTATTTATAAGAGTTTTATATCGTGATTAAGTGAATGGAATTTAGATAATTTGAATTAATTTTAACTTAATGAATTTTATTTTATTTTGTTTTATTTTAAATTTCACAATAAATAGGAAAAGGAAGTGGAGAGTATACTTTTTTTATTATACCAAGTTGTTATATATTGGCTTGAAATTTCAAAATTATATATATATATATATATATATATATATATATATATATATATACATATAAAGTGAATTATAATTTCAGTTAACTTAATTATGAAACTGCAACGCACGGTTTTTATAGATTCTTTCGAACCAATGAATTAACAGACTAATTTCTTTACTATATTATGTTTGAATGAAATAAAAAATTCTTTGAAAATTATGGTTCAAGAGCGCTGAGTCTATGCAAAAGAATATATGCAAGCTGAAAAAAATACGAATTATTTTTAAATCTTTTTATAACAAAATTTGCACAATTGATCATGAAACAAACAAACATATAAGTATTTGCAAACAGAAGTCTATTCTAAAACTATTTTAGAATAAAGTTTATTTATTGGGGGACATGTAAGTTGTAAGGTGTGGATTAAAAGATGATTTGTCTTTAAATTTTGAGTTACATAAAAGCCATTTAGTTACTAAACCCTTTATCTCAAATATGATTTACGGTAAGCAATTGTTGTTATGAAGATATTCATCATCATTTTACCTTTATCGTGTAAGTTTTGGTTGGCTTATCTTTGGCACAAATTACTCTTTCACTTTTAATCAGTGTGTCCTCCGGTTTAAATTTAATGTGACCATATCACTTGATTCTACTTTCACTAATTTTATCATCTATTTCAATTTTTCTAGAAAATTTATATGATACTAAGCCTCTCTTTTTTTCACGTAATATATTTTTTTGAAAAATATATTTTTTTTCAAGTAATTTGTATATATATATTTTTGTTTTTTTTGTGTTCGGCAAAGGTCTAAGTCGATATTAAGGTCAAGTTTATTGAGCGGGGTGTGTAAAATAACTTGTCGAAAAGTAACAAATAAATTGACCTAGTAGTAAACTCAATTGATCTTTAGTGTCTTCACAACTATTTGGAACTACCCCTCTGCTGTCATACTCAACGACCTAGATTTTTGGGAATTAGAAGCCTAGAATATCCCGAATTAACTTCGTAAATATATTAGAAGAAGAACTCTCACTGATTTAGGCTTAACTCATTGATTTTGTTTTGTTTACTGACATAGTTGTAGACTAGCAAATGCTAAAGTGTAAGCATTATATACGTACTATTATAAAAGTGTACGCATTTTCTCTAATTTCTTAACATTTTTCACTATTTTTAAATAATCAATTATGAAATTTTAAAAATATATTTAATAAGAGTTCATACCTTTTAAACTAAATTTATGTTTAAGATACCAAGAGAAACAATTATACTCATTTCATTTCATGCATTACATTCATTTGATTTAAGCAATGAAGAGACAATCGTTTTATTCATATATTCATGCATTATATTAATTTGATTTAAGCAACGAAGAGACAACCGTTTTAGTATAAATATTTAGTGCTCTCATGGTTCAAGAGATGTATATATACACTACACATTTTATCAAAGCAAATACAAAAATGTTTTATGATTTAAGAACCAAGAGACAATAATTTTTGTTCATATCTTTAATGTTTTTATGGGTCAAGATTCAGCATATTTTGCAACTCTTCTATCCTGACAATTGGATTTTTTATTACGTAATTCCTATCAAAAAGGCAATTAGAAGGGCATGAGCAGAAGCAACAATGGGTGGTGGTGACTGCCATCAAGGACGGAGCCAATGAAGCCTTAGGGGGGCACGTGTCCCCCTGAGTTGGTCAGCAACCTATAATATATGTGGTAATTTTTTAAAAAAATTCTATATGTATGGAAAAATTTATATAGTGCCCCCCTCAAATTTGTAGTTCATAAAATTATATTCTTATTTTTTCTTTATTTTTTCTTTTACTTTTCATATTCCTTAGTAGAAAAAGTCAAATTTTTCTTCCTCAATTGAAACTTTTTAACTATTTCCTATTAAAGTTCTTTCATTTTTCTTTCCTTTTATATTTTAATAATTTTCTTCTTTTTTGTCTTTTTGAATTTTATAATTGTTATATATATATATGTGTGTGTGTATGTGTGTGCGCGTGTGTGTACTCCCCATCGAAGCCAATGAGTTTGTAGGGGACGACTCTATTTTTTTTATTATTATTTTTATTTTTTTTAATTGGGTACTTATACACACATGCCTCCACGGAGGCTCTAACCCCTGATCTCCCTTTCAAAAGTAGGGACTTGATACCGTTAGGCAACTGGCCTATTGGTTATGGGACGACTCTAAATCAGAGATTTGTAATTTATATTCTCATGAGTAAATCTTATTTTAATTATAGATGCATAATGATAGAAAGCATGTTAACAAGAAAGCCTCACGTATTTTAACAAAAAAAAAGAAAAGAAAGCCACACGTACATGGAAATTTTTTAAGAGCTGGGAGTTCTTGGAACCTTGTGTAGTTTATAAATTTATTTGAAGGTCTTATTATGTTAGTATGTTAATGGACAGATTTATTTAGTTAGGAGTATATATATTTACCAGATGTAGGTGTAGTATTTAATGGATTAAACAATATAGGATCATGTGTTCTTGAAATTTTGTTCAATAATATTACTTCTAAATATTTTATAATGTATCGAATAATTAAAATCACGTACATTTTGTAATGGGAATTTGCTGTTAATTTGGTTTTAAAAAAATGAATCAAGAGAAATTGAGTTGTGGGACACCAAATACTCAAAAGTTTTTCTATTTTATCTTTTTCATTTTATTTTGCAATGTTATTTTATTTTGTATTTTATTTATTATTGGTATTTATTGATTACCTCCCAAATTTTAAATATTCAATACAATTTTATATTATTTTACTAAAAAGGTTATAAATAGATATGGAGACTTAATTAAGCACAACTTTTATTATTATTATTATTTATAAATACAAATATTCATTAAACACCAACTCTTCATTTTAAAAATCTTCCATTAATGAATTCTTTATTTTATAGTCATTGCTGTAGACTTAATTATTATTATTGTGTTTATATATGTTGTATTTATCTTTATTTTAACTACTTAATATTTATTTTTTACGATTTTACATGATTTTTAATAGTGATCTACTATTATTAAAATATATATAATAGTTTTCAATTATACAATTTTATTTTAACTAAAATTCAACAAGTGTGATTATCCCATCACTACCATACTTATCTCTCCCTTTGTCTTTACTACATTCATTTCTATCTTTTACAAATAAACTAAAAGTCAATTATACAATTTTACTTCAAAGAAAATTTAATTCTATAATTTACTTCAATTAAAATTTACAATCTTAAAAATTCACATACAAAAGTATAAATAAATACGGATATTTAATATATACAGAATCCATTAACACTAAAAAAAAAAAAAAAAAAAAACAAAGAAGGAAGGAATAAATTCATTTAAAGACAATTAAAAAAATAAATAAAGAAAATGAAATAATACATTGATGGGCAATGGAAGGAGAAGAGACAATAATAGTCAAAAAAAAAAAAAAAAAAAAAGAAAAAAAGGGGTACTTTTATCTCATAAAATTAAATTTTAATACTCCATAAGAGCAATATATTAATTATATCTGTTTTTTTTTTTTTTAACCAATTACAACTGCAGCCGACACTAAAAAGATGAAGGGGTAGCTTAAGGCTAAAGCTTGTCGATAAGGTGCTAATTTGTTAGGATATCATTGGTCGTTAAGATTGCACTGGACAAGTCACCAGCAAGAAGCACAAAAACATTCAATAAATAAGTCAATTTGGTAATTTAATATGCTCTGTTGTCAGTCGTGACTTTTGATTTTCTCATTAAATTGCACATTTTTGAATAATTTAGGATTAAATTTAAAGAGTTTAATATTTTTTAAAAAAATTTAGGAGTTATTTTTTACACTTTATTCCAAAAAAGACAATTTTAAAAATTTATCTACCCAAGACAAGAAAGAGTGAAATTGTGAATAATTGAATTGAATAGCACTGTTTCAATAAATTTAGAATAAATCAGAGAAAAAAGAAAAAGAAAATAAAGAGGTAGGTGGGGGATTGTGGTTCACAAGGGTATGAATGTCCTTTGGACCTAGGTCAAACACACAAGACACCCTATATTAATCGTAAATGAGAGACTGGAGGCACAAAAGCCCTATTTTCCGACCGAGAAGAGGCCACCAAAAAACCATAATTTTCGATTAGAAGGAGCCACCGTTAGTATACTTTGGTAGATAATTATTGCTTGATTGCATGTGGTTTCAGCCTTTCTGCTGATGGTATCATGCAAACTATCAGCACTCCACAAGTAATTATGTGTCTGATGTATCCACCCGTGTAGTTTTGTTTATTTGGGAAATGGAACATTTTGTGTGGCCAGGAGTGAAATCTGTGAAAGAACTCCCGAAGTTCAAGACGTGGCCATCATCACCGTCGAAATTGATCAGATGGTCACGATGAGTTCATCTGTCTGCACCTTGAATAGGGAGGACCTCGGCCAGGCACAAATAAGAGCACTTTGTTTTGACTCCCAGTAAGTTTTTTTTGCCATTCTTTGTGTTGCTTATGCTTCCCTTGTTTTCATGGCTTGTTTGTCATATTCTATCATGGATGCTATGGTGAGTTTTTCAAACTTAACAAAGAGGTGGCTTTTTACTATAGTCCAGTTTATGCAGAGTAAAGAGAGAGTTATAAATAGACAGTTATTAAATGATTTTTTTGACCATTTACATCCTATTGTGAATGTATTGACCTTTGTCAACAACAAATTTACCTGATCTCAATGAGAAAAAATAAAAAAATAAATAAATAAATCAAGCTTTTGAAGCATCTAGACTTTCATTCAAATCCTCCTTAAACTCGAGCATCAATATCGTATAAGCCCATTGATTAGACTATAGCGAACTGAAGCTTTGTCCATCTTGACAAGCTAACTTCATCTTAGGACAATTTTTATACAGTATGCGAAAATATGATTCCTCTATTCAAGGAGCAATAAGCTTAAATAATAGAAGAATGATGTTTTAAGGGATAAGGAACTTGCGGTTGAGGACAACAGTCTTAGATGTTTGAAGAAATTGAGCGATTCTCCAATCAATTTATGTTTAATACCATCTAAAAAGAGTAAGTTTCAATTTTAAAAAGGTTGAAAGGAAAAATTTATTACTGATTGCTGAAGATGTTCAGCTGAAAGAGTCCAAAAGTTTTTATTGAAATGTTAATATACCCTAAAATTTGTTGTAATCTTATATCTCTCTCCTTCCTATACATTTGATCCTAGAGTTCTTTCCTGGCAACTTTTTCTCTCTGTGCCTAACCCCGTCACAGTGCCATTATATTCGAATTGATCATTTTCGTCGTGGTCAGATCTGAGATTGTTCAAGACTCATTGAAGAGGCCCTTAGCAAAGTGACTATTAATGGTCTCATTCTTAAAGTACTGCAAAGGTTCAGTCCTGATCAAGAATGTCCTTCAAAGTTTCCCATTTTTTAACAAGGGATTGAGGTCAGCAGTAATATCAAGTGGAGAGAATTTTTTTTGATAAGTCAGGACTTTCAAGTTGAGAAGAATTTTGAGCGGAACTTCAATTCAGATGTCTCTAAACCATACCCAAAGACCCAAATACCATACATTTCAATATGAATGCTAAACCATACCCAAAACTCCTTTTCAGCTGCATTCATTGACAGTGCAACAACGCTCTTGACCCTGCTCAAAATTCTTGCTGAGTGATGTCTTAGTTGACTCAATGGCAATGGCAACTGGTACTTTAAATGAAGAAAGGTGCTCAAGCGGGGAGTGTGTCCCATTTATGAAAAAGCAGTATATCCTCACGTTATTCACAAAAACCAAGGGGAACCTCCGCTGATTTACAAAATCTACCATGAATCCAAAAAAATAAGGATCTAAATAAAAACCCAATTAAAAGGATCTCCTATCCCTTTTCTGCCAAAGGTCCCACCTCAAAGAGGGGCCACCCTCCAAGCATCTCGAGCTTGCTTCCCCACTATACAACCTTGGCAATCTTTGGGAAAAGGTATGGACTCAACAAACACCAAATCCGGCAAGAATCAAATCCTAGCCCTCTCGAGCTACTGGACTATGGAAAAACAGATGATTGATGGACTCTTCATCTCTCTCGCACATGCAACATCAGTTAATGATGATTTGTCTTCTTCTCTTTAGGTTGTTTATCGTCAAGATCCTCACCAAGGCTGTTGTCCAAAAGGCGCCTCCGACTGATTCCCCCCCTTCATTAATAGTACTTTATCAAGTTTGGTCCATTGGATCAAAAGCTTACCTGAATAAAAAAAAAAGACTTGTTGTATCAAAAGCTAAACCAAATAAAAAATCGGAGGCTGAAAAAGTGTTACTTTGTCATGTTCTGTTCAAAGGACAAAAAAAGAAGAAGAAAAACCCTACTATTACAGAGAGCTAAACGAGATGACGTGAACAGTAAACAGTGAATGGGTTAGTTCTTCTTCTTTTCTCTCTCTTCGTCTTCTTCCTCTCTCTCTCTCTCTCTCTCCTCACCTCCCGTCCTATTCTTTTACCTCACATTCTTTTTTCTTCTTCTTCTGTCAGTCTCTATTGTCTTTATTGCTAATGTATTTTTTTTTAATAATATGTTTGTTATCTATACAGTTTCTGGATTTCTTGCTGTCGTTCTCTCTCTTTCTATGACTCTCTCTTTACGTTTTGTGTTTTCCTTGTTCTTAGGATTGTTTGGCTTTAGGAGGGAAAACTGATATGTATTGCTTTGGTTTAACGCAATAACTGGATGTATAAATGTTTTTTTATGGTTCTTGAATGCTTAAATGATAAGTTTTAGATTATTGATCATGAGATAAAAATTCTTTTATAATAATTTAATTTTTAAACTGCGCACCTTGCTTCACTCATGGGCGTGCCTCGCCCAGAAATGGATATTTCTTCCACTCTTTACTCTAATCGAATGTGTTCTGAGAACTCATCCTATCACTTTTGGATATTTTTCCACACCCCAACCCCTGCTGGAAGCTTGGAACCCTCCACTCCAAAGAGCACCATCCTTCCCTACATTCCCCAAACGTACATCTAATAACTCAATTCCATAGTTGTGCCTCTCAACCCCGAACCTCCATAGTCACTTTCCCAACAAAACCTTGTTGAACAATTCAAACCAGCCTCCTAATACCCAATCCCCCTGACTAGATTGGATTGCACACTTACTCCCAGTTAATGTCTTAATGAGATGATACTTGAATCTCCCCTAGCTGCTACTTCTCTGAAACTTCTCAATATTTTTCAAGAGAATCAAGACACAGAGTAATTTGTGCCCCTTTTGAAAGCTATTGCTTCTTTCAACCAACAAGTCTTCTCTCCACCCGCTTCACCACTTTATCCTATAAGGCCACCTTCCTCGAAGGAGCACCCACCAGTAATCCTAAATATATCCAATGGGAAGGGCCCAACTCCCCCCCCCCCCCCCCCCCCCCCCCCCCTTCTTACCTACTAGGACAATGCCACTCTTACCAAGATTGATCCTCAGCTTAGAGACAGCCAGGAAGCATATTAGAACACATCGTAGAAATCTCAGTTGGGTCTCGTCCGCCTCACAGGGAAAAAGGTGTTGTCGGCAAACAGAAGGTCAGATATCTCCATCTGACAAAGGGACCTAGAAGTTCCTGCCCACTATTTTTTTTTTTGATAAGTAAGGTCCCTGCCCAACTTTGAAGCCCCTCACATATCCCACATCGACTACTCGACTCCATCACAATAAGAAACAAAAGGGGAGATAAAGGGTCCCATATCTCAGCCCACACGAACTAATCTAGACGGAGCCCCGTTCACCAACATTGAGAATCTCAAAATAAAGAACCAAAACCATCTTCTCCACCTCTCCTCAAATCCCATCCTCTGTAGCATGTAAATCAGAAATTCTCGCCCTTCAACAAATGCATTCTCGAATTTCAAAATTGCTCACATAAGGCTAGGACTTTAGCTATAAGTTTGTACATACTACCCATCAAAGTAATGGGCCTAAAGTCCTTCACATCCACAACTCCGCCTTTCTGAGGGATATGTCAATAAACGCAGCTTTCATGCTTTTCTCAAAGCTGCCATGCATGTGGAAGAAGTGAATAGCTTCCATTAACTCATTCCTCACCATCTCCCATTTTTTATGAAAGAAGGCCATAGGAGTGTAATTTTAAAAATGAGCGAAGTCTAATTCTCCGTCTAGGTAGAAGATGGCGATCCGAAAGACTAGGCAGATGTGGTGAGAATTTTTTTGTTGCCAAGGAATGGAGCGGTTGAGATGGTTGATTATGGGTCGATTTGATCGTTGAGTTCAAAAATCCTTGATTGATTGAGTGATGGGTTACTAAGACTTGGAAGGTCTCCGGAGGGGTGTTAGTGTCTCTCTTGCAAGATACCTTATTGTTGTTCAGACTGCCTTCTCCTGTGGAAGCAATGAGGGTCTTGGCTAAGGGACAACGTTGGTGGGGGGGACATTGAACTGAGGTTGTCTGCTTGGTATCAATGGGCTGGGTCTTCGGGGATTTTGAAGAAGAAGAAAGAGAGGAGGATTCTGGTTTATGGGCTACCTCTTAACTTGTGGTGCTCGGAGCTCATTGAAATAATAGGTGATATGTGTGGAGGTTTTGGAGTGTTAGGGGGAGGAGAGACTCGGCGCCAGTCATGTTCATATCTGAGTGAACGACGATGGCGATATCCAGGAGTGGGTACTAATGGATGATGAAGATCTATGCCATAAGGTGTTCCTGGTTAAATAAAGGTCACTGGAGATCCTTTAATGACAAGGAGTCATCGCGGTAGAGAGGAGAAATCCTTTACTACAGAGGATGAGGCATCGGGTGCATTTGAGGAAAGGTAGGAAGTCCGACAGAAGTAGTGAAGTGAGGATGATGCAGTCGTCATCGGGAATGGATGGGAAGAAGATGGGTTGATCCGCGCGCGCTGGCAACACACAAGAAAGGTGGAGTGGTAGGTAGGCCTCGTGTCCCATGGTTGCGTGGTTCCATGTGCAAGTGCCCTACAACGGGATATAATTTGAATCAGAAGGAAAAGAAGAAGGGGGGGGGGGGGGGGCAGGTTTGGGTCGGGCAGGGGCGGAGCCAGAATCTTGAGGTTGGGGGGCCAAAATTATAAAACAACATTACCTAGCTAGAACTTTTGAAGAAAAGAAAATATTACGTAGGCAAAAATATTTTACTATTTATTATATTCATACAAAAATATATTTATCTAAACTTTTCCTAATTTATTTAAATAAAAAATAATAATAATAAAAAAAAAACTAGTTATTTAAAAAAAAAATTTTATCAAACTTTCTGAACAAACACAAATAAGATTTATGCCAAAATTATAAAAAAATTCAATTAAATAACTCTCTTTATTTACCTTTTTTGTTAAAAAAAAAAAAGTAAAAAATTGAAAATTTAACAAAACAATATCAATGAAAAAAAAAAAACACAAACAAATTAATAAAATAAGAATTTAGATTCTTAAATCATCGATTTTTGTTGATATTCAAAACTTCAAATGAAAATTTTGTTTTAGATTTTGTAAAAATTAATTTCTTATAGAATTCTTATAAAAACATTCCAATAAAAATAAATAAAAAGAAAAAAAAAAAAGTGATGGAAAGAATAATGTATGAGATGGAATTTTAGGATAATAAGGTTATGGAAAGAATCTTGCTTGAGTTGGAAGGATTTTAAGATAGTTACATTATGGAAAGAACGGTGTTTGAGTTGAAATTTTAAGATAGCCACAATCTAAGAAGCACGGATACGGGACACGGATACGACACGACACGGACACGGCGACACGACAAATTCAAAAAAATTAGGACACGGACACGGCGAATAGTATATATATATATATATATATATATATATATATATATATATCAGCATTAATAATTTAAAAAAAAAAACACTGATATGTTTAGGTTGGAATATATATATATATCATTGATATGTTAGTATATATATATATCAGCATCTTTAGGACACGGACACGGCGAATTGTGGCATCTTTAGGTTAGTATATATATATATCAGCATCTTTAGGGTAGTACAAAACAAAAAATAGAACATATCAGCATTAAAAACTTTAAAAAAAAAATTAACACATCAGCATTAAAAATTAAAAAAAAAAAAAAAAAAATTCCAAAAAAGTGTGTCCGAGCCGTGTCCGAGCTGTCCGAGCCGTGTCCGAAAATTAAAAAAAATAAAAAAATTCCAGACACGTTTTTTGGCGTGTCCGACACGTGTCGGGGCGTGTCCGTGTCCGACGCGTGTCGGACACGGATTCTTCGCCCATTTTGGAGTGTTCGTGCTTCCTAGGCCACAATAAATTTTTATCGGGGTTCTATAGTCGTCAATTAAATCACTTTCTTTTAGTTTATAAATAAACTATCTTTTGTTAAATGTTAATTAAAGAAAGAAATTTTTTTTACCTTAGGGGGCCAAGTATTTCGCCCCTGGGGCTGGGTGTAGGGGGCCAGTGACTTTTCTTGCATTGTGGGAGTGAATGGGTTGAGGAGGCACTTTGAGCACAAGCCAAGTGGGCTGGCCCAACAGTCATGCAGAGGTGAATCAAATGGAGTAATGTGATTTCGAGACCATGAACGACCCAACTTAATCAGGATTTGCTACACGACAATGGGCCACATGCTAATCTCAATAAAAAGCAGCAATGGGTCAACTCAAGAATCAAGAAACAACTGTGAAATGAAGAGTGGACTTTCAGCCCAAAATAGCAGGAGGCCCACACAACCCCAAGTGGGCCATGTGCGCAAGTGGGCTTGGGCTAAAAAGATGAGGTTGCCTGCAGGCCAAAATGGACATGTTTTGCATAAGCCTGGAAACTGAGCGACAACCTAGCTTATTCGAAACAGCCTCTCAGGTAAATCTCGATATTTTGTGGCTGCTACTTCTTCATATTCTCCTTCCCTGAGTTCGATTGGGGGGAAGGATAATGGGATTAGTTTGGGGAATAAGAACAGGTTGCCGCCGGTGCTCGAAGTGGTATGGAGGAAAATTTAGAGGTTGGGCATGATGGAAGCCAAAAAAGCTGGTTCAGAAGGGGACGTTTCTCTTTCTGGGGCTGAAACTGAACCGACATATTTTACTGTAAGGCTGAGCAAGTGACTCTTTATGTGGGATGTGACTGTCAAATTCGCCTAAGTTATGATGCAGCTGCTGTTCTGATTAGAGAGAATTGAGTGCCCATGAAGCAATGAGTGTGCTGGACGACAACACTAACCTGTGGGTGGATGAGGCTAGGGAAGTTGTGGCGGATGGGTTTTATACTCCCTTGGGGCTGGATTATGGTGTAGGTATCTGAAGACGAGGGTGGCTATGTCTATGTGTTACCATGCATTTCGTTTGAGTGTGATATGGGCTGGGTGAGGGAAAACATCAGGAGATGCGTAGTTGCTTGGGGGTGACTTGAGGGTGAGGATGATCAAGACAATGGTGATGTTCCAATCCGCTATAGAGCGTAGGAAAGTGGTAGGGAGGAAGAAAAATTCTTCATGGAAGGGGGCGAGAGTTGAGAACCTCATCTCGGATGTGAATTATGAAAGGTGGAGTGGAGGAGAGGGAGAATGGTAGAGGGAGTGATGTAGGACGAGAGCAGCCTTAAATAGCTAAAAACTTAAAAGAATTCAGAGGCTGAAAGTTCAGACAATCAAGGCTGAAATTTGTAGGTTTGATAGTAGAAATGTGGAAAAATCAAGGAGAAACGAAATAGAATTAGAGCAGCTTGGGATCAGACCAACAGGGTCTAGGCATCACACCTAGAGAAGGCCTCACACCCTCATTTGTTGTGAATCACTCGTCAAGAAATTTCACAAGAATTTTTTTTTCATTCATTCACCGAGTCACCAAGTTTACACCTTTCTTTTTTGTAGCAACTTATGACCCCTTGGATTACCCCATAATTGAGGTAATCAATAGTTGACTCTATACATAATATAATTATCAAATACTGACTGAAGCAATTTGACCATAAATGATGCAATTTACCATAACTATGCAAATTTGATTTGCTTAAGATTCTTATGTACACAATGAAGGCATGAAAAGAATGAAATACTATTGTTGTCCACGTGTTCGAATGGAGGATGAGGATATGACTGAGAGCTAGGAAATGGAATTTAAATATGGACTTGATGGGCTTTTTCCTTCTTGTTCGATCATTCATTTGTGCTAAACAGAGTAAGCTTAATACTCAAAATCGCTTGGTTGATTCTCTTGTAAGGTAATTGTGATGTTGACCCGTTTTTCTCTTGCTGGTCATGGGCCCTGTTTAGTACTGTTTTGTAGATCGGTATGTATGGGGGGTGTTTGGAGTGAGATAATGAGAAAACACTTAAATCGCAGGAAAGAGAGAGACTGCGAGTGTTAGGGTTTGGGGGTTGAAACTTGTAATAGCTTGTTTTTTTTGTGTAGTGCAGTCTCTTGTCGTATTCACCATGGATGTAGGTTTTACTGAACCACATAAATCTTTGTGCTCCTTGTGTGGCATGTTTACTTTTTTGTTGTGATTCTTGGTTTGTGGTGTTTGTCGTGAGAGTAATGACGAGTATGGTTTTGTTATGTATGGGTTTATGTAGACAGTTTTTGGGCAACAAGGCTTTAATACAAGAATAAGTTTCGGTGATAAAGAGCTTTAAATATTGGAAGGGTGAGTGTGATTGTTGATTATATCTGAGGCAAGTTTTAGTTGCACACTTGACCCTCGGAATAGTCTATTGAAAGTTTTTGGTTTGTTGCATTACCCAACCACAAAAATTTGTAATATGTGTTGGAAGGATTTACATATTTAAGTTACACCCTCTCTAACAGCTTAAATTTTTGGAGAAGATGGTTGTTAACATGGTATCAAAGCCAAAGGCCCCGAGTTCAAACCTCACCGTTACCCTAATTAAAAATTTGAAAAACACGTGCTAGATCAAAAGGCAGCCACACGTGAGGGGGCGTGTTGAAGAATTTATATATTTAAGTTACACCCTCTCTAACAGCTTAAGCTTTTGGATTAGATGGTTGTTAACAATATGCATAATTTGTTGAGAGGAATCTAAATTTATATTATTTAAGTATCAAGGGAAATGTTTTGCATTCAGTTTGTGTTTAATTGCAATGCGAAATACGAAACAGTGAAAGTAACAATGTTATACTATATGTCTGTGTGTATATAATATATATGTGGTTGCTGAGGGTTTTGAAGATGAAATAAAAACACGAATAAAGTTCAAGAAATTTTTTAAAACACGTGCAACTGGAAACATGTGATACCTTTTCCCCCATGAATCCTTATTAGGTCGTGTTATTGCAATGATTCATTGAAAGAAATTTAATTTTTTCTAGCAAATTACCAAATTTAGCTGTATAGTTGGTGTGTTCTCATTTAGGTATCATACATATTGCATTTGGCGTTCTAATAATCATGACATATTTATTTGAGGCATATGAATTTATATGAATTGAGTACTAGATACATGAATTATGCCTGTTCTACAGTTGTGAGCCTTTTAGTAATAACATATCTTGGATGTAGTCCCCTTTTTCAATTTTCATTCCCTAATCTTTGAGGTGGAGTGCCATTGTATATTGAAGCAGAGTCTTCTATCTTTTTTTTTCTTTTCTTTTTTCTTTTTCTTTTTCTTTTTCTTTTTCCTTTTTTGACACGATGTTTTTTGTTTTACAACAAGTCTGAATTCTGCACAAGTATGAATTGTTTGAGGTACAGTTGCATTCGTCTAAAGGCCTCAGCTTTACTTTTATTTGACTTGTATATATATATATATATATATGTCTAAGATTATATATAGCAATAATATATTGCAGCTTTTTGTACATAGCAGCTTGTATAGTTTTCTTAATTATATTTTACTTTGGGGCTTTAATGAAGGATTTCCAGCAAAGAACTCAAAGTGGAAAGGTTTTACTTCAGGTAAGGATCGATCCGAGTACTTTGAGGATCAACATTTGCAGCCAGTGGACACTGATTCACCAAAGCTGGAGTCAGTACCTGAGAGCAGTCAACCTGCTAGAAAAAGAGCCGTCAGCCCACTAGCAGTAACTGATTCCTTTTTTCTTTTTTTCTTTTTTTTTTTTTTTTTTTTGTTTTGTTTGTGGTAATTTTTAGAACTTCGTTTTTATATTTAATGTTCCCGGGCTTCTCAATTACAATGACCTTTGTTGATGGTGGATGACAAGGGCATACATGGTTACTTTCTGGCAATTTCTTCTGGCAATTTGCAGTTTTTTAAGTTGTTTCCCCAGACAATCCTATCTCAAACTTGGGTGACACCATTGCAAAAGCTGTTTATGATTTTTTGTCTAACAATCAAGCTAAACTTCATACACCACTGGCAGAAACGTTCATGCGGAGATATCTCCTTCTATAAGAGCGGGGAACAGTTGTCGCAACTCTCCGCATGAAGGTTTCTGCCCGTGGACCATTTTGTTGAGATGTTTGAAGTTTAGCTTGATTCGTAGACAGAAAATCATAGACAGCTTTTGCAATGGTGTCACCCGAGTCTTGCAAATCATTATTAATGTGCGAAAGAAATTTGAGATAGGATTGACTAGAGAAACAATTTATATGACAGCAAATTGCCAGAAAGTAACCATGTATGCCCTTGTCATCCACATCAACAAAGGGCATTTCTTTAATTGAGAAGCCCGAAACATTAAATATAAAAATAAAACAAGATCTAAAATTACCACAAAAGAGGAAAATATGCTTCAAGAGTTGCCAAATTGCAGACACTCATAGCACATTTGTGCGCAAAGCGGCAATGCGACTGTTGTAATTAAAAAATCATAGATTATTGACTGTTGTAATTAAAAAAATTATAGATCAAAGATAACTTACGGTAAATTACAACACATCGTAAAGATTTCTTCAAAATAAGTTCAATTGGCAGGTACTAACTCTGGGAATATTATATGATTCTTTAAAAACTTCCTAAAGTCATCCGGATCCTTCATTTTTTTTTTCTTGTCGGTGGTGGTGTTCCAGAAAAATCCATAAATGATATTCTCTCCATGAAGGTACTTTAGTCTCTAATCCATTGTTGTAAAATTGAAAACAAAAATAAAATATATTAGGAATATGGAACTTAAATATATCTAAAATCTAAATCACGTCACTTACCCCAAAAAAAACAAAAAAAAATCTAAATCACATTCAACGCCCTCTTTCATTGGGTTGGTTGCCATCCACCTCTTGAAGTATTCTTGAATGAGTACTACTTCTGTATTGGTCGAGTCTAATTTATTTGCGTCTTCTTTATAGAGTGTGTGGGCGCGTGGAGGGTGTGTTTTATATAAATTTGAATACAATAGTCATATTGTAACATAAATATTGCCAAGTTTGCAAAAGTGAATTACAGTGGTAGCTCTTGTTTTCTTTTGTTTACACCAGTAAGGTTAAAAGTTCAAGTAAAATTTTTTATTTATAAGAATTTGAATTTCATTATTAAGTGAAACATACTAATCGCATTTAAGATAATTTGAACTAATTAAATTAATTTAACTTAATGAAATTTCATTTAGATGAAAAAGCAAAATTTAAAATTCAAAATTCAAAAATACGAGTAACACCAAGAATACAAGTATTACAAATTAAAAAATACAAATTGGTGGACTCAGAAATATACATATAAACCTACTCAAACATATACACATAAAATCAAAACACAATACCTGATAACTAGATCTCAAACTCAATAAAATAACTCAAACTCCAAATGTCGTCCAAGAACCAGAGAGTATACAGATAGGGTAGTACTCACCTGAGATTGTGGATTATTGCACTATTTCACATGTTGATCTTCATGGGTCAAAGGTTTTTCTTCATGATAGAGAGAATGTGTGTGTGGAGGGTGTGTTTTATATAAGCTTAAGTAGAACAGTCATATTGTAACACACATATTGCACAAGTCTGTAAAAGTGAATTACAGACTCTCTTGTGATGGCTCTGTCTTTTTTTTTTTTTTCTTTTTTTTTCACCTATAAGGTTAAAAGTTCTAAGTCTCACCAAAATTAAAAATAAAATTTTTTATTTATAAGAGTTTGAATTTCATGATTAAGTGAAACATACTAAAAGAATTTAGATAATTTGAACTAATTAAACTAATTTCAACTTAATGAAATTCCTTTTAGATGAAAATGCAAAATCTAAAAATCTAAAATACAAGTAACACCAAGAACACAAGTATTACAAATTAAAAAATACAAATAGGTGGACTAAGACATATACATATAAACCTACTCAGACATGTACACATAAACCCAAAACACAATACTTGATAACTAGAGCTCAAACTCAATAAAACAACCCAAACTCCAAATGCCGTCCAAGAATCAGAGAGTATATAGATAGGGTAGTACTCACCTGAGATTGTGGATTACTGGACTATTTCAAATGCTGATCTTCATGGGTCAAAGGTTTTTCTTCATGTTAGAGAGACAGAGAGTGTGTGTGTGTGGAGGGTGTGTTCTATATAAGCTTGGGTAGAATAGTCATATTGTAGCACACACATTGCACAAGTCTGCAAAACTGAATTAAAGACTCTCTGGTGGTGGTTCTGTCCTTTTTTTCATTTGTTTTCACCTATAAGGTTGAATTTCTATTCTCACCAAAATTAAAAATAAAATCTTTTATTTATCAGAGTTTGAATTTCATGATTAAGTGAAACATATTAATGGAATTTAGATAATTTGAACTAATTAAACTAATTTCAACTTAATGAAATTCCTTTTAGATGAAAAAACAAAATCTAAAACCCAAAGATAAAAGTAACACCAAAAACACAAGTATTACAAATTAAAAAATACAAATCGGTGGACTGGACATATACATATAAACCTATTCATACATATACACATAAACCCAAGACACAATACCTGAAAACTAGAGCTCAAACTTGAAAAAAGAAAAAAAAAATCCAAACTCCAAATGTCGTCCAAGATTTTGGATAACTGGACTATTTCACATGCTGATCTTCATGGGTCAAAGGTTTTTCTTCATGTTAAAGAGAGAGAGAGTTTATGTGTGTGTTTATGGAGGGTGTGCTTTATATAAACTCGAGTAGAACAGTCATATTGTAACACACATATTGCACAAGTCAGCAAAAGTGAATTACAGACTCTCTGGTGGTGGCTCTGTCCTTTTTTTCTTTTGTTTTCACCTAGGTTAATATTTCAAGTCTCACCAAAATTAAAAATAAAATCTTTTATTTATAAGAGTATGAATTTAATGATAAAGTAAACATATTAATGAAATTTAGATAATTTGAACTAATTAAACTAATTTCAACTTAAAGAAATTCCTTTTAGATGAAAATGCAAAATCTAAAACCAAAAAATACAGATAATACCTAGAACACAAGTATTACCAATTTAAAAATACAAATCGGTGGACTCAGACATATACGCTAAAACCCAAAACACAATACCAGATAACTAGAGCTTAAACTCGATAAAACAACCGAAACTCCAAATGCCGTCCAAGAAACAGAGAGTATATACATAGGGTAGTACTCATCCGAGATTGTGGATTACTGGACTATTTCACATGCTGATCTTCATGGGTCAAAGTTTTTCTTCATGTTAAAGAGACAGAGAGTGTGAATGTGTGGAGGGTGTGTTCTATATAAGCTTGGGTAAAACAGTCATATTGTAGCACACACACATTGCACAAGTCTGCAAAACTGAATTAAAGACTCTCTGGTGGTGGCTCTATCCTGTTTTTTCATTTGTTTTCACCTATAAGGTTAGAATTTCTAGTCTCACCAAAATTAAAAATAAAATCTTTTATTTATCAGAGTTTGAATTTCTTGATTAAGTGAAACATATTAATGGAATTTAGATAATTTGAAGTAATTAAACTAATTTCAACTTAATGAAATTCCTTTTAGATGAAAATGCAAAATCTAAAACCCAAAAATACAAGTAACACCAAGAACATAAGTAGGCAAAAGTGCAAACAACCCCCCTGAACTATCACCAATTGGCATTTTACCCCCTGGACTACAAAAATGAACAAATCAGTACCACAACTATCCAAATCCGTGCAAATTAATCCCTAAAGCTCAATTCCGGCCACTTTTCGGCCGACTTCATTGTAAATTTACAAGATTACCCATTGTAATTAAGAAAAAAAAAATACGAAAATAATTAATCAGCATGAATCCGGTAAAGAACGATGATGGCAACAGCGAGACTGAATTGGCGGCAAGGACTGAATCAGCGATGTGCAATTTCAGGTAAGGATTCCTGGTACGGCTGGCTGGTGCAGCGATGGCGATGGCGGCATAGGCCGGCGATGGGATGTGAAAAGGATTGGTTCGACCGACTGGTGCAGCGATGACGATGGCGGCGTGGGCCGGCGATGGGCTGTAGACAGGTCGGTTGTGACCTTGCAGCACGGCACTGGCGAGTAAGGAAAACTCGGTTGTGAGCTTCTCGGTGGTGAGTTCGGCTGTAATGAACTCGCGGCGCGGGACCGGTGGACAAGAATTGGCCGGCTGGTTCTCCTGCACCCATGGCCGTGATTGAATTTGGCAGAAACACGGCGGCGAGGTGGAGTAATAGAATCGGTCTCGATAGGATTGGTATTAGCGATCAAGATGGTGCGAAACTCGTATTCGAGTCGAGCCATGGTGATCTGGATCGCCGTGTTGGCTTTGTTCTAGTCATCAGCGCTCGTCGCCGACTCAATAGAGCACTGAATCTCGTCAACGGCCTGCAAGTAGCGATCGATCTCGTGGCAGTCACCGTTGAAGATCATGCAATCTCTAGCGTCCTCCAACGCCGTAGAATTCCGCCAGAGGATGATCTACTCGGTCGATTCAAACGCGACGGCGAGGTTCTCCGGCGATTCCATAACTGGAAATATAGGAATTCAATCAATGACAGCTTTGAAAATTCAGAATCTAGAAAGGGAAAGGTAATTTTTATTTTCCTGTTTTTTTCTTTATCTAATATCTCTCTCTCTCTGTCTGTCTAAGATAATAACTAGTAATTTTTGTGCTTTGTGGCGGTGGGCCTTTGACTTGTTAGAATTACGGTTTCTCTTAATTGAGTGACGATGAAAATTAAACAAACCAAATTTGACCA